AGGCAGTATCTCTAAGGAAGTAGATTGCCCAGTCTTCCTGGTTAAATCACGTGCCTGCTAACTGAAGACCTGTGGTTCAAACCCACCAGTTGCTCCGTGGGAGAAAGAATATGCAGTCTGCGTCTGTAAAGATTTACAGCCTTGGAAACCCTATGGGGGCAGTTCTACTTTGTCCTATAGAGTCACTGTGAGAGGGAATCAACTGAATAGCAGGGGTTTGGTTTGACTTTCCAAAACTTATCATTCATTTGTTATTATTATTCATTTATCATTATTGTTCATTGTTAACTTCCGTTCAAATAATTTCTTTTAGAATCAGCACAAGGCCGTCTCCTATGAGGCAGAGGTTAATGTCCAACTTTTCCAAACTGCTGTACCACTCATCATCATCTCTAACATCAACTCCTCATGCTCTCCTCAGTACTTTCCCTCCTGAAAGTTTTGCTTATTTTGCTGTAACTTCTCACAGAATTCACACGCTGCTATGGAAATGGCCCACACAGTGGTAAAGGCAGGGAGGCTGGCAAATGCCAAATCCATGTGTCAGGCATAGTCTAGAGGATTCTCCTCACTCATGTGGTTGCAGGGGTTGACAAACTCAAATCAGCAGGTCAGATGACTGACTGCTGTCTCAGGTCCAGGGGTGATATGATGACAAACCAAATGCAGAACCTGGAGCAAGAGAGATCAAACTTTGCCAGAACATCCACATATATACCCTCAAGGAAACAGTAAGTGGTGACCTGAGTCACACCCTTCAGCAAGACAGGACTCAAGATGCATCCCACCCTAAACAGGTATACCAAACAAACAAACAAAAAAATCACTGCCATAGGGTCGATTCTGACTCGTAGCAACCCCCTGTGGGTTTCTGAAGTGGTAAATATTTATGGAAGTAGATTGTCCGATCTTCCTTCCATGGAATAGCTGGTGGGTTTGAACCACTAACCTTCTGGTTAGCAGTCAAAGGCCTTAGGTACTTCGCCACCAGAGATCCCTAAACAGGCATAGAGGCTAGGATTTACGATATATCACAAAATTTAGGACAATGGCTAGAAGGGCCGTATTAAGCAATTCACTGCACTGCAACTTCCATTAGTCTTTCCTAAATCAAACATCACCTCAGAGAGGTCTTCTCTGAGACTCCAATTTAAAATAGGTTCTCCTGCTAGTCTCTCTTATAAAACCTTGTACTTTTCCTTCATAGTTTTACCACAGTTGGTAAACATATACCTGTATTTACTGGTGTTTCAAACGTCAGTAGGGTTACGCATGGTACACAGGTTTCAATGCAGCTTACAGACTGAGATAGACTAGGAAGAAGGAAGAGGCCATCCACTTCTCAAAGAATTGGCTGGGGAAAACCTTATGAATAGCAGAGAAACACTGTCTGATACATTACTGGGCAACTTTACTAATAGCCTGGAAATACTGTCCAATTCAGTACGGGAAGACCAGCTCCTGAGGTTGGAAGGCACTCAAAATATGAGTGGGAAAGAGCTGCCTCATCAGATATGTACCTTAATGATATGGATAAAGTAAGTCTTTCAGGACCTCCATGTGCTGATGTGGCATGACTCAAATTGAGAATAAACAGCTGCAAACATCCGTTAATAATTGGAACATGGAATGTGTGAAGTATGAATCTAAGAAAATTAGAAGCTGTCAAAAATGAAATGGAACACATAAAGATTGATATCCTAGGCATTAGTGAGCTGAAATGGACCAGTTTTGGCCATTTTGAATCACACAACCATATAATCTACTATGCTGGGAATGACAATTTGAAGAGGCGTGCTGTGGCATTCATCTTTGCAAAGGATGTTTCAAGATCTGTCCTGAAGTACAATGCTGTCAGTGATAGGATAATATCCAAATGCCTACAAGGGAGTTAATACAACTATTATTCAAATGTACTCACCAATCACCAAAGCCAAAGATGAGGAAATTGAAGATTTTCATCAACTTCTGCAGTTTGAAATTGACCGAACATGCAATCAAGATGTGTTAATTATCACTAGTGACTGAATTGCAAAAGTTGGAAACAAAGAAGAATCACCAGTAGTTACAAAATTTGGCATTAGTGACAGAAATAATGCTGGAGATTGCATGGTAGAATTTTGCAAGCCTAATGACTGATTCATTGCAAATATCTTTTTCAACAACACAAAGGGCAACTTTACACGTGGATTTCACCAGATGGAGTACACAGGAATCAGATTGACTACATCTCTAGCAAGAGGCAATGGAAAAGCTCAATATCTTCAGCCAAAACAAGACCAGGAGCTGACTGGGGAACAGACCATCAACTACTCATATGCAAGTTCAACTTGAAGTTGAATACAATTAAAATAAGTCCACAAGAGCCAAAATATGACCTTGAATATATCCCTTCTGAATTTAGAGACCATCTAAGGAATAGATTTGATGCATTGAACACCAATGACTGAAAACCAGAAGAACTGTGGGATGACATCAAGAACATCATCCATGAAGAAAGCAAGAGGTCATTAAAAAGACAGGGAAGGAAGAAAAGACCAAAAACAGATGTCAGAAGAGACTCTGAAACTTGCCTTTGAGCAGAGAGTAGCTAAAGCAAATGGAGAAAGGACAAGATAAAAGAGCTGAATAGAAGATTTCAAGGAGCAGCTCAAGCAGACAAAGCCAATTACTATAATGAAATGTCCAAAGACCTGGAGTTAGAAAACCAAAAGGAAAGAACACACTTGCCATTTCTCAAGCTGAAAGAACAGAGGAGAAAATTTAAGCCTCGAGTTGCAATACTGAAAGATTCTATGGGCAAAATATTGAATGATGCAGGAAGCATCAAAAGAAGATGGAAGGAATACACAGAGTTACTGTACCAAAAAGAACTGGTCGATGTTCATCCATTTCAGGAGGTTGCACAGGATCAAGAACCAATGTTATTGAAGGAAGAAGTCGAAGCTGCACTGAAGGAATTGGTACAGAACAAGGCTCCAAGAGTTGACAGAATACCCATTGAGATGTTTCAACAAACAGATGCCCCACTGGAGGCACTCACTTGGCTGTGCCAAGAGATTTGGAAGACAGCTACCTAGCCAACTGACTGGAAGAGATCCATAGTTGTACCCATTCCAAAGAAAGGTGATCCCACAGAATGTGGAAATTATCAAACAGTATTGTTAATATCACATGCAAGTAAAATCTTACTGAAGATAATTCAAAAATGGTTGCAACAGTATATTGACAGAGAACTTCCAGAAATCCAAAAAGGATTCAGAAGATGATGTGGAATAAGGGATATCATTGCTGATGTCAGATGGATCTTGGCTGAAAGCAAAGAATACCAGAAAGATGTTTATTTGTGTTTCATTGACTGTGCGAAAACATTTGATTGTGTGGATCATAACAAATTACAGGTACTATTAAGAAGAATAGGAATTCCAGAACATTTAATTGTACTCATGAGGGGCCTATACATTGACCAGGAGGCTGTCATTCGAACAGAACAAGGGGACACTGCATAGTTTAAAATCAAGAAGGGAGTATGTCAGGATTGTATCCTTTCACCATACTTATTCAGTCTGTATGCTGAGCAAATAGCCTGAAAAGCTGGACTATATGAAGAAGAATGTGGCATCAGGATTAGAGGAAGAACCTGCGATATGCTGATGACACTATTTTTTTGCTTGCTGAAAGTGAGGATGACTTGAAACACTTACTGATGAAGATTGAAGGATACAGTCTGCAATGTGGATTACATCTCAATATAAAGAAAACAAAACTCCTCACAACTGGACCTATAAGCAGCATCACGGTAAATGGAGAAAAGATTGAAGTTGTCAAAACTTCACGTTGCTTGGTTCTACAATCGACGCCAATGGAAGCAGCGTCAGGACATCAGACGATACATAGCACTGGGCAAATTGTCTGCAAAGGACCTCTTTCAAGTGCTGAGGAGCAAAGATGTCTCCTTTGAGGACTAAGGTGTGCCTGATACAAGCCATGGTATTTTCAATCACCTCATATGCACGTGAGAGCTGGACAATGAACAAGGAAGACCGAAAAAGAGTTGATGCTTTTGAATTGTGATGCTAGCGAAGAATGCTGAAAGTACTGTGGATTGCTAAAAGAATTAACAGGTCTGTCCTGGAGGAAGTGCAGCCAGAATGCTCTTTGGAGGTGAGAATGGCCAGACTTCGTCTCACATACTTTGGTCATGTTGTCAGAAGGGTCCATTCCCTGGAGAAGGATGTCATGCTTGGTAAGGTGGAGGGTGATGAAGGAGGGGAAGGCCCTCAACAAGATGGATTGACACAGTGGCTGTGGCAATGGGCTCAAGTATAGTAAGGATTGTGGAGCTGGCGCGGGACTGGGCAGTGTTTGTTCTGCTGTACATAGGGTTGATGGCAGCTAACAACAACAACCATTTCCTGCACTAGATTGTAAACTCAAACAAGGCCAAGACAAGATTACTCTTGAACTTTGCTGTTCCTCACCCACTTAGGATAGTGGGTGTGCTCAATAGCTTATAGAAGGTGCTCAATAAATCTTTGTCGAGTGAAATTAATGAGTAAATGCAGTAAGTACTTGAGTTCTCTGTCCCGTTTATTAGAAATAGCTTTGAATCTCTTCTTAAAATCTGGATAAATGCTATTAAAGTTAGGTCTGCAGGTAGGTGCCTCAGGTATGTCAGTCTACACACAGGCTTTTCTCCAAGCCTAACCTGCCATTCTCCACCCTATAACCCATAGCTTTCTGCAATCCAGGTAACCTGTGGTCAAGACAACCAGGCATCTTGCAATATTCTTAACAATCCCAGACCAAATAATGAGGAGGATTATGACTACATGGACTCTAAACGTGGCCACGTTAGAGCCTTAAGCCCAGAATATGACGCAGGTGGTTCATTAGCTCCAGTCAGGCCCGTAAAGCGCACCCTGCTGAGACCTGCGGGGCTCCAACACCCGTGGCTGGGAGCCTCAGGCTCCCTCCTCCACTCGAATCTACCGTACAGCATGGCAGCTCCTGAAGCCACTACCCAAGACAGTATCTTCCGTACAAAATGGCTGCCTACGGAACGCGAATTGCACTCCTTCCCGCCTAACTACCGGAAGTTTCCTTTTGAAACGGAGGTGGCCGATACTGTGCGCGGTGAGGCAGTTGATTCGGAGCGTCTTTTGAACGAGATCCCAGAAGACTACGGGAGCAAGCAGCGATCTCCTGGGTGCGGCTCTCCCGGGACAAGGGATTGGACTGGGTGTGGAGGACGCATGGAATGGGCTAGTTCGCTCTCATCCTTCCTGAACCAAGATCGCTTCTTGGCCTTTTGGCTAGGATTAAGTCACTTCGGCGAGGGCTTCTCTTTCCCGATCTCTCCCTCGAGGTGGGGCTGGCGGGGTCGCGCCCTCCCCAAGACCTCCAGCAACTTGGCCGCCGGCGGTGCACCCGGTCACCCCGCGCTGCATAGATAACATTACTCTTGCATCCTCTAGGTTCCAGCCGTGCCGCCTCGTTACAATGACCAGCGTGGTTAAGACAGTGTACACTCTGCAGCCGCCCTCTATGTTGAGCGGCAGCCTGCCCGCAGGTAGGTGTCCAAACCCCAGCCCCCTACGGGCCCTGTAGACTGACTGGCCTGTGTAGCTAGAGAGGCAGTGAGAATGGGGGATTCAGATCACTGTCCGGGCATGGGGGCTCGGAGCAGGCTAGGCCATTCTGTCGGCTTTCACAACCTACCCTTAAAGGCAAGTTTTAGGTTTATGGTGGAAGAAGAAGGGTCAAGTGGTGGGATCTTAGATCTGCCTTGCTGTGCTCCAACACCTTGACCCGTGCTGCATCCCACCAATTGAGTTGCTAGTTGTTCTACAGTATTATCCCCATTAAACCAGGAACCCCCTTTTAACAAGTTAACACTTTTATTTCCAGAGTAGAGCTAATCTTGAGGGACTAGACTATCAGGGTCATTTGGGAAGTGGGATACTTAGGTGAGGAGGCAGTAGTTGTTTGTGCCATGGTTTGTTTTTCACATTTATACTAGTGTTTCTCATATAGTACTCGCTCAGTAAATGTTTAAGTGAAATGAGGGGTCAGTCTAGCCAAAGCAGTTGAGAATACTTTAAAAAGAAAGAGACATGATTAAAAAAACTTCTAATTGCTTTGCTATTTTGCTTTGTTACCTTGCGGGTGGTTGAAAGTCATTGCATAGGATCTGCAGTTATCAGCTGCCTAATCTAGAGGTTATAGCACAGAATAAGCTTCGGACACTAGAAAACTTGTGAGAGATTATGAAGTAGCTATTGATGAGCCTTTCACAGATGACTCCTTCCAGCTGGTTGATGAGCAGTGGTGAGATTGATCTGTGGGGGTAAACAGGCTTTTCTCCAAAGGCTTAACAGGTTGTTCTGTTGCCTCAGAACACCTGGACATTAATCCTGGCGTCAGCAAGGGACTGGGGAGTTGGCTGGAGGAACTGGAGCCATATCTCCTTACCTAGTTCTGCTGTCTTTCCCTAAATTGCCTCAGTGTCCCTTGTTCAGTGGGGAGTGACTAGCTCTCTCCAACCAAGTTGGGAGTTTTCGCAGCTTTGCTTTCTAACCTTGTCTAACACTTTATGGTCGTACAGCACCTCAATAATTAAAAAAATTTAGATTATTTTTTCCTTCCAATTTTGGGCATGGGTTATTTGTTTTTGTTTCTTCAGTAGGTAATATATGCACATGTAAAAAAAGGAGCTCTGGTAGCATAGTGCCAAGGCACTTGACTGCTAACCAGGAGGCTGGCGGTTCAAACCCACCAGCCACTCCTCGGAAGGAAGGTTGGGCAATCCTACTTCCGTAGTGATAACTGCCTCGGAAACCCAAGGAGGGGTCGCTAGGAGTCGGGGCTGACTCGATGGCAAACAACAACAACAACAAAAAAAAGATTGTTAGAAAGTGATATAAAGTGAAAAATAAGCCTCCTTTCCTTCTGCGAGAATATACAAAACAAAAAAACATTTACCGCCATCGAGTTGATTCTGACTCATGGTGACCCCTTCTTGGGTTTCCGAGGCAGTATCACTGAGGAAGCTAGATTGCCCAGTCTTCCATCTGAGAAGTGGCTGGTGGGTTTGAACCGCCAGCCTTCTGGTTAGCAGTCAGATGCTTTAAGCACTACACTACCAGAGCTCCTTCTGCGAGAATAAGAGCCAACATAAAGCTAATTTCCAAAATATGAAGATAACCCATACACCGCTCTTTCCTACTTCATCATTCTAACATCAGCCACCCACATGACACTCTCTGAGCTAACTACTCAGATTTGGGTCTCCACAAGTTCGGATTCTGCCTTGTCAGCTTCTCTGTTGGCTGTCACTAACCCCCAGTGTGTTTGTTAATTCTCTAAAATGAGCACACTTAGAATAACCCATTTATTATAACCAGAAAGGATATAAGCAGAGAGATGCATCAGGTAAGCTCTGGAAGAGATCCCTCAGGCAACTATTTCCCCCAGGCATGTGCCACACCTTGTCTGTGCAAGATGTTATTACCAATCCTAGAAGTCCCAAAAACAGAGCTCCAAGACCCAGAATCCTCTGGTCACTGGGACTTCAATGAATAGGCATGATTGACTGCATAGTGCTCCTTTCCTTCCAGAAGTTAGTTTGCCAGGTCCATGGCCTGTGTAGTCCCTACTTGCCTGGCTATCTTAGAAAGACAAAAAAATACCTTAACTCCTCAAAAAAAATAAAAGCCAAATGTAGTTCTTTGTTCCATAACTTCCCTGATATCAGCCCTCTAATTCCCTTCCTTGTGTTGTTATGTGCCATCGATTTCCCCCATAATGCAATCCTTAGGTTCTAGAAAGATGGATTATTGGGATCATTCCAGTCACTGGCCAATTTATTGTTTTGATCTGTTTGTTAACTTCTTTTTACATGGGGTGGGTTTGTTATTGGGTATAATTTATTAATACTTGAGACAGGAGAAGATAAAATACATTCCCCCAAGGATACCTTTGTAAGGAGCTCTGCTAGCATAGTGCTAAGGCACTTGACTGTTATCCAGAAGGCTGGCAGTTCAAACCCACCAGCCACTCCTTGGGAGGAAGGTTGGACAATCTACTTCTGTAGTGCTACTGCCTCAGAAACCCAAGGAGGGGTAGCTATGAGCCAGGTCTGACTTGACGGCACATAACAATAACAAGGTTACCTTTTACTTCAGAGACCTCAAAAAGAACCCCAGTAATATTTTGTGGGTAAAAGCCAAGCCAAACCCACTGCTACTGAGCTGATTCCAACTCATAGGGACCCTGTAGGGCTGAGTAGAACCTCCCCATAGGGTTTCCAAGGTCATAAATCTTGACAGAAACAGACTGCCTCATCTTTCTCCTATGGAACAACTAGTGGTTCAAATCACTGACCCTTTGGTTAGCAGCTGAATGCTTTAGCCACTGTGCTATCAGGGCTCCTTGCTTTAGGGGTAAGGGTATCTAAAATAGTCAAGGTTTCCAGTGAGTGTACTTGAAAGAATCTGTTAACTTGAGAAATTGTATTCATTCCAAACTGTTGTGCAGCTAGAGTTTTCAAAATAAAATCTTTATGAAATACAAAAACAATTTCCTGCTCCCTACTTTACCTCGCTTCTTCAACTCGTTTGATGTAACTGTTAAGGCTTTTACTTTACATCAAGCTTAAGGGAGCCATTTTACAAGGAACAAGGTGAAAAGTTAGTATAACCTAGAAGAGCTCTCTGTGTGTGTAGGGGGTGATATGTTTGCTTAACTCCAGAATAAGTTGCTTGAATTTACTGTGAAAAATAAATTGTAGAAAGATAGTCTATGGTGGAGGACTAGCACAAGGGCTGGGGAAAGGTGTTCACCTTTGGGAGAGAAGAGTGGTACAGCAGGACCATTTCTCTATTACCTGGCAATGGCCTGGCAAGAAAAATCAAAATAAAATGACAAATGGAGAGGCTTTAAACTTAATGGAAGGAGCCGTGGCGATGCAATGGTTGAGCCCTGGGCTGCTGACCAAAAGGGAAAGGTCAGCAGTTCAAACTTACCAGCCACTCTATGGGAGAGAAGACCTGGAAATATGCTCTCCAGTAAAGATTTCAGCCTAGGCAACTTTATGGGGCAGTTCTACTCTATAGGATCGTTATTCTCTGGAATCGGCTTGACGGCACGCAACAACGACAAAACTTATTGGGGAGTCCCTGGTTGGTGTAAATGCTTGAGGCACTTGGCTGCAAGCTGGAAGGTTAGAGGTTTGAGTCTACCAGAGGTGCCTCGGAAGAAATATCTGGCAATCTACTTCAGAACAATCAGCAACTGAAAACTCTATGGAATACAGTTCTACTCTGACACACTTGTAGCTTTGAGTTACAGATGACTTCAATGGCAACTAGTTATTTTGCTTTTGTTTTTAACTTAATTGAGGATAAGCAGATTAAAAGGGCTGGCGGTAAGTCAGAGTAGAGGAAGGAAAGAAGACCAGAGGAGATAATTTTAAGTTTAGGAATGTGGTAGTTCAGTTTGTATGTCAACTTGGCTGGGCCTGGGTGAGTGGCTGGGCAGCTGGTGGTAGTTATTCACCATGATGAGACTGGCAATCAACTCCATGACAGGACCTACCACAGGCAGCTGAGTAGCTGCCTTTGGGATATGGTCTGCTTCCTGTATATAAGAAGCAACTTTGGGAATGGTCTCTAGCTTATGGCCCCTTGAACCCTTCATGTAGCCATGTCATTGCTCAGCAGCCTATCATGCTCTGCCAACATTTGGACTCGCAATGGACTTGAATTACTGGCCTGCCATGTGGTTTGCTAACATTGGGACTGTGCCTTTTTACTTGTCAACCTGGGATTTGTCAGCCTCAGCAGCCAACAGCTGTCTGAGTGAAGAAACGCCTCTAGCTCCAGTGGGCCGGGAGCAGGAGGCAGAGCTGGACACCAAGGTTGAAGGGCTTTCACCCAGCCCCTAGAGCCTGGCACTTTGAACTTGGACTTAAAGCCTCCAAATTGTAAGAATAAACAATTTTATTTTATTATTGTTAAGGCCATCCCATTTGTGGTATATTCGTGTCAGAGCAGCACTAGGTAACCAGAACAAGGGATAAAAGTCTGTGAAACAACCCATAAAACTGAAGTGTTGCACTAATCCAGCAAGGAGTTATTGAATATCTGTTTATATGCTATATGCTATATGCCATATATATATATATATATATATATATATACACACACACACACACACACACTCTACTAGGGGCTGGGGTCGCAAAGGTTATCTCTTAGAGTAGTTAGGGAAACAGTCTGGCAAAGGCAGTCACCAGCCAACCAAACCAGTTGCCATGCCATCAAGTGACACCCCACCCACCCCCGTGTGCCAGAGTACAACTGTGCTCCATAGGTTTTCAGTGGCTGGTTTTTTGGAAGTAGACCTCTAGGCTCCCCCCTCCTCTGAGTGAACTTGAGCCTCTAACCTTTCAATTAGCAGACAGTTGTGTAACCGTTTGTACCAGCCAGGGACTCCTAAAACAACTATAGCAACAATTGAAAGAAAACGAAGCAGCTTGAGTATTGAGTTAGGAGGATGTGCAGGGTACCTGGGAGCTTAACAAGATGGTGCGGTTCCAGTAGTGCTTGATGAAGAATTCACCTGTGTTTTGCCTAGCTGATAACACACTACCTTTCATTTGGTTCTTTGCTTTTATCAACCCCCATATTCACATCTGTACCCTCCAGCGTTCAGTCTGCTGTTTATCACGCTTTTGGCTACTCTTAAACCACTACACTGTCAGATTTAAAGAATGTTGATTTCTATCTGTAATTAGTCTAGAAACCTTATTCTTTTGAAGTACTCTTCAAAATTGAGATTGGCCAGAATGGTTTATGACAACTTGGAATGGACCTCTGTTACACCAGGGTTGCAGCTGTTAAGTCATGCTACTTGAAGTTCCACGTGCTTATTTTCCTTTACAGACAAACAATCTCGAGCTATTTCTAAAAGCCTACTACCTGTTAAGTCCAAAGAAGTAGACATCACCAAATTTTGTCATTCAAGCGGTTCAGAGAATGATGTTACAAAAATCATCAAACCAAGACGAGAGAATGGGTAAGAGTCAGATCATTGGTATCCAGTTTGAACACCTTGCTAGAAATTGCTCAGTACTAAGAAATAGAAGGTAGGGTTTTCAGGAGCACGACATGTGAATGATTGGCCTGTGGTTAGTGATCTAGAGTGGCGTGATGCTGCTGAGCTATTTTAAAACCCTCCATGTTGTTCTGTTCTAAAGAGATATAGGAATGGTTATCACTTGTTCAGAGTGTACAAATAGCAGTATTGTCATACACCAGCCCTAAGTGATATTAATACGGTATGGGGACTACGTATTAACCTAGGTTGCTGGTCTAAGCACAGGCCAGACCCATTATAGTATGTATGTGTGATCACCCAACCCAGCATTCAGTTCACATGTAAGTAAGGTTGACCTAAGATAAGGCACACCATCTTGAGCAGGTCTGTCAGGTTGGTGATTAGGAGTGGTCAGGGAAGGGAAGCCCATTCTTTATTAATAAGTCTTTTTCAATAGTCTCTGCTAAAACAAAAGTGTGTAGACCCTCAGAGCTTCCCCAGCTTGTGCTGTTTTCTCTAGTTCTTTCCTCAGTAACTCAGGCTATTTTTGTGTGTGTGCCTTGTTCACAACACACATAACAATAGTACTGTGGTTTTCTGATTAATTTTTTTGTTTTTGCTTCTCTAGGCAAATGAAAGCTGCAGACACAGCCATCAGGAAGAACATAAGAAAGAGGTGAGTGGAAATCAGGGTAAATGAAACTTGGCCACCATTACAGGGTGGCTCTCAATCCTGGTTGTACATCAGAATCACTCATGGTGCTTGTTTATGTGTTAGAGTCCGGGTTCCACCCAGACACCTGAATGGGATTTTCAGAGGTGAGACAACAGATCTGAGAACCACTCTCAGGACACACATCTGTAATGCTACTATCTTAAATACCAGATGAGAACTTTTGGGCTCGCTGCCAGGACCCTAGCTGCCCTTCAAAATAGAAAACAAGAGTTGGAGGCCTTCAGGATAAGAGGGGCTTTGTGTGGTTAATAATCTTTAAAAAAAAAAAAATTGTCTTCAAATCAGTTCCAACCCAAGGCTGTCCCATGTGTGCAGCATAGAACTGTTCCATAGGGTTTTCACCTTTAGGAAGCAGATTTCCAGGCCTTTCTTCTGAGGTCCCTCTGGGTGGTTTTGAACTACTGATATTTCAGTTAGTAGTTGGGCACTTAACCAGTTCCACCACCCATGGATATTACTTATTATTCTTGGCATGTGTCAGCAGTTGTGCTACGAACTATATATGTATTCTCTCATTTACTCTTCATAATAATAATATGAGATACAGGAATTGCTTTAATTCTAGAAATGAGGAAACAGCCTTAGAGAGGATATGTAACCCACTGAAGGTCATGTGCCACTATGTGACAAAGCTGGGATTTAGATCCTTGTTTGTGGAATTCCATAGCCCACACTCTTAACCCCTCTATTTCTTCATATGAGTACAGTTATTATTACAGCTGCAAACCATCAAATAAGCAGAAATCAGAGGAGGAGCTCAAGGATAAGAACCAGCTCTTAGAGGCAGTCAACAAACAGTTGCATCTGAAGTTGACTGAAACTCAGGTAAGAGACATACTTGATCTGTCATTAGCTGCCACAAGGACATTGCATGTGGAATCCTGAGGGATACTGTCCTGGGTGGGAGCAAGCTTGTAATGATCGGGTCCCTGAGGCCAGAAATAAAGGACAAAAGGCTATCTAAGAGTAAGGGAAACAAAGACCACCCCTGGAGAGTGGGACAGGCTGGATTTTGATCTGTCTGTGTGCATCCCCACAGGGAGAGCTGAAGGACCTGACTCAGAAGGTGGAGCTGCTGGAGAAGTTTCAGGACAATTGTTTGGCAATTTTGGAGAGCAAGGGCATCAATCCAGGTGAGAGACAGCACCCACTTGACTTCAAAGGAATCAGTGCACTTTCATTCCTTCCCGAGTTGATTCTGGACTGTTGACTATCTAGAATCCAGAATGATATCAGTGAAGCCGGTGGGGGAAGGGGTCATTCAGCAAAGCCCTAAAGGTTTTGGAAGCTTCTTTTATTCAGCTGCTTTCTCCTTTATGTGATGCTGAGTTTGTTTAACAGAACTCTAGGGATGGTAGAAGGAAAGGCTTATCTCTTCCTTATCTGAACACTTTATGTCATTCATGTGGTGCCAACAAATAGATCAGAAGGCATTCTATTTCTTTCAAGGGAGAGAGCACCTTGGTATCTTTTCCAGGTGGGAAGAGGGAGACATAATACCATTTAAAAGATTCCTAAACCTGGGTAATCATCAGAATCATTCATTGTGTTTAAATGTGATTCCTTTTCTGGCCACATCTTTGGAAAACGGAGTCTATAGCAAAACAGAGAACAAATGAAGGAATTGCTCAAAGTTTAAGGGGGACCTTGGACTGAATTGAGGAAGCAGCTTGGAAATGGCCTCTTTGCATGAGGAAGTATTGACTTTCAATGGTACTAGTTAACCTGTAGGTTGCATTTTAGGATATATTTGTTATAGTCATTATAAACACTTTTCAAGCCTTGAGTTGCAGTGTTAAAGGATTCTGTGGACAAAATATTGAAACATCAAAAGAAGATGGAAGTAATACACAGTCACTGTACCAAGAAAGAATTGGTCAATGTTCAACCATTTCAGTAACCGATGGTATTGAAGGAAGAAGTCCAAGCTGCACTGACAGAATTGGCCAAAAACAAGGCTCCAGGAATTGACACAATACCAATTGAGATGTTTCAACAAATGGACTCAATGCTGGAAGCCCTCACTTGTCTATGCCAAGAAATCTGAAATACCACTACCTACTCAACCAACTGGAAGATATCTATATGTGTGCCCATTCCAAAGAAAGGCAATCCAACAGAATACAGAAGTTTTCAAACAAAATCATAGCTATCATGCACAAGTAAAGTTTTACTGAAAATAATTCAAAAACATTTGCAGTAATTCATCAATGGGGAACTGCCAGAAATTAAAACCAGTTTCAGAAGAGGATGTGGAACAAGAGATATCATTGCTGATGTCAGATGGATCTTGGCTGAAAGAGAATGTTAGAATGATGTTTTCTGTGTTTTATTGGCTATGCAAAAGCATGTGACTGTGGATCATAACAAATTATGAATATTTTGAAGAATGGGTATTCCACAACACTTAATTATGCTCATGAGGAACCTGTATATGTAGACTAAGAGGCAGTTCAAACAGAAGTAGGGGACACTTCATGGTTTAAAACAGGAAAGGTGTACGTCAGAGCTTTATCCTTTCACTATACTTATTCAGTGTGTATGCTGAGTAAATAATACAAGAAGCTAGACTATATGAAGAAGAACACAGCATCAGGATTAGAGGAAAACTCATTAACAACCTCCAATATGTAGATGACACAACCTTGCTTGCTAAAAGTGAAGAAGACTTGAAGTAATTAGTAATGAAGATCAAAGATTACAGTCTTCAGTATGGATTATACCTCAACATAAAGAAAAGAATAATTCTCACAACTGGACCAATAAGCAACATTACAATAAATGGAGAAAAGGTTGAGGTTATCAGGGATTTCATTTTACTTGGATTCACAGTCAATGCCCATGGAAGTAAGTCAGGAAATCAAATGATTTATTGCATTGGGCAAATCTCTTGCTAAAGACTTCTTAAAGTGTTAAATACCGATGATGTCACTTTGAAGACTAAAGTGCACCTGACCAAAGCCATGGTATTTTCTGTCACACCTCGTATGCATGTGAAAGCTGAACAATGAATAAAGAAGACCAAAGAAGAATTGATGCATTTGAATTATGGTGTTGGTGAAGAATATTGAACCATGGACTGCCAGGAGAACAAACAAATCTGTCTTACAAGAACTTCCAGGAAGCTCCTTAGAAGCAAGGAGGGTGAGACTTTGTGTCACATACTTTGGACATGTTATCAGGAGGGACCAGTCCCTGGAGAAGGATATCATACTTGATAGAGTGTCAAGGAAAAGTGGAAGACCTTCAATGACATGTGGTTACAACAGTGGGCTCAAGCATAGCAATGATTGTGAGGATGACACAGGACCAGGCAGTGTTTGTTCTGTTGTACATAGGATTGCTGTGAGTCAGAACCAACTTGATGGGGCTGACAACACATACATACTTTTTGTATAATTTTAATTTGTGATATGCATATACTACATTTACCTAATAATTTTTTAAGGTCTAAAAGCCATTTAAAAATAGCTTTGTGGGAGTTCTGATAACATGGCAGAATAGGCAGACAGACTACACAGACCCTCTTCAACAAGGAAAAGAGAAACCAGTTGATCCAGATACAGAAGATAATCCTGGAGCCCTGAACTTTGAAAGGAAGGATACAGAAGTGTTTACTAAACTCCAACTAGTAGAAGAACCTGCATGAAAATACTGAATAAGGAGACAAATGGAGCTGTGGACTGTCACCGATCCTGATGGCATGGACAGTTTGGATATGGCCAAGTGGTGTTAGGACCTAAGAATTAACCTAACAATCAGCCCTGCTCACCAAGGGCTGCAAGGAGGACTACACTGGTAGGTGATGACAAAAGGGAAACAGCAAAGAAAGCGGCAAACTGAGCTGTGGAGTTTTGGCTGTCTGGAGGGTGCAGCCATTTTGAATGTTTACAAGTGGTTAGACCATTTTGGATATTTAAAACGACAGCTGCAAAAACGTCAAGGAGGCCACATGTTCCGACCTCCTCTAACCTTACAAGAGGAAGACAGGATTACCAGCAGTAACCCAAGGCCTATTCCTACAAGGCCAGATATGCTGCCTCCCTCCAGCCCTTTCACCAACCATTCCTCCCAAAGC